GACGACACGAAAATACGACAAGAAAAACATGTGCATTACGAAGGGAGGGAAGTCCCTAACTTTCGCCTTTTTTTCGCCTTCCCCGATGAGGGTTAACTTATCATGACAGCTAATATGCACAACAAACAATATTGTAATTACATGTGAAGGCCAAAATTAACGCTGGGCGAACATGGATTTGATTGTAAATGGGCGAGTATTTGACTGTGCAAAAGATTTCCAGTATACAGTAACGGTATGTGTTTCACTCAAAAGACGTCTTCAATAAAATGAAATATTTTATAACAAAAGCAACCTTTCACGTCTAGCTCAGAAATAAACTAGACTGCAGGCTCGTAGTGTCCATTTAGTGGCATTTTACACCACTGTTCCATGATAAATGGAGTTAGGATTATGGAAATGATGTAATTATGGAAATGATAATGGCAAGTATATATATAAACAAGATTTTTTTTATTAAATGTCATTTGTTTTCTTCTTTCATGTCCATGCAGGTTACAGTGCTGTTGGAGCTAAACCAGATTTACTTTGTAGAGAAATCAAGTTCCCGGAGGTTCTTGATCCCACCGTGACTGGAGGCCAGGGGGCGTCAAACCAAGACAAGAACGGGGCCACGGGCCAGCATGTAGAAGAGGCCAGTGCGAGTGCTGCCCCTTTTCAGGCTTTTGATGTCCAGTTCCCCACTGGAGCAAGTGATCCCTTGGTAAGTGACCGGGAACAGCAGTACAGTACTGTCATTGTCTATTCAGGGACCAATCTGAGACAATTTCTTAATTCACCATTTATGGGTAAATTATATATGTACATATAACCTAATGCATATATCTAATTGTATAAAAATCTTAAAATTTCATAAAAAAACAATCCCTTTAATTACAAAAAAAAAGTAAATTTCTTGAAAATCTTTATGAAACCTGCTGTTGTTTAAACTATCTGTAAGGTAATTTAATGTCAAAGATAAGATATTCATATTCATCAGTTTGGAAATATGTCATATCAAAGTTTTACTTCATACACAAACAATGTATGCATTAAGTGTGTCGCACCGTTTCAAGACCGACTAGCTTCATAAAGGGACCAGTCAGTCTTGAAACGTTGCGACACATTTAATAAGTACATTGATTGTGTAGAAAGTAAAACTTTGATATGATAAGATATTCATGTTTGAGTACTCAAAATTTCCTTATGGTACATGTTCCTTTTACATCCCAAACATTTTTTATTGTTTTTTTTCTTTAATACATTTGCTTCTAAAATCGGATTAATGTTTTTTTTTTAATCACTGAATAATTAGTTATCTGCAATATTCACAGAAGAAGCAAGAAATGAGGAATAGACACTTTATAGACTTAAACTAGTGGTGATTGTTAGATATATCAAACTCATTACATGTATCTGATATAATACATTTTAATATATCACACTGATAGAATTGATGGCACTTTTACATTCTAATTTTGTTATCATTTTCATGTTTGTTTGCTTTTCAATTTGATGACACCTAACATAAATGTGACTTGATTTGCCAGGACATCAACCTAGATGAGGTGACATTGGCCAATAACATCCTTGATGGTCAGTTCCTACCTTCTTTCCCTGTGTCCAGTCCGCAGTCATCAAACACCGTGCCCAGTAGTCGGTGCAATCGTCCATCTTCTGTCGGCCTTCAAAATTCCGCAGAAAGTCAAAAGAGATTAGTACGACATGACTCGGTACCTCTTGAAGGTTCCCGCCAAAACTCTGTTCAAGGCCAAAATCAAATTGACTCCTCCATTGTTCGAAGGCAAGGTGCAATTCAAAATGTGTCTCAAACAGAGCTGGCATCCATACCTCAGACAAACATTGATAGGTCACGAGGATCAAATTCTTTCTCTTTCGACCGAAGGTTATCGTCTGGGACAGATACCGTTACGGAAGGGAAAGTCTCTGTGTCCAGTGACAATTCCTTTAAACAAGACGCTTGGGAATCCGATGTGTTCAGTTCAATTCCGACAAGTGTCAGTGTTCCTAAGGCGACAATTACGAATGAGACATCTAGTAGCAGACAGGGGTCCCCACCATCAAGCATTCCATCTAGTGTGGCAGGGCTCACATCAAAAAGACAGGTATTGGCCATATTCATTTTTTGTGGAATCATATGAAATGTTAGTGTTAATAATATATTTAGGAGATAACATGCATAAAATGTAAGGTAACAGCTAATGAATATACCTTTGATTGGTATAGTGTGTCACGGGTTTAGAAAGTAAGGTACCTGGGTAGTATGTATATAACCTTAATTCAAATGCAGATTACAGATACAATGTTTAAGGTAGTACCTGTATATAACTTACGCTCTAATACTAATCATGGGTATTATGTGTAATGTAACCTATTCCCTTAACTCCTACCAAAATCACAGGTATAATATATAAAACAGTAGTCGACCTTGAATAAATTAACTGATAATGTACAACTGCTGCTTAAACTTTTACAGTCATCTAATCTTAAAATTAGAGAAATAATGTATGGTTTATTAACATTTGATTGTGCACACAGTAAGAGACCATGAAAAGTTGGACAGCTATTTCTATTTATGTTGGTGACAGGAGGAAACATTGTCAAACAGCAATGTAGGCACCGTACCTAACACGGCTGTGATGCAGGAGATGAAACAGATCCGGTCAGAAAGTCAGGCTGCAGTCAAAACAGTGGTACAAGAATATAAGGTAATTGATCAATGGACAGTGTTTCAAGTTTCCGTGTATAGCTTGTTGCAATTGTATATAGCCAACACCAATTCACAGGAAATATGTTTGGATCTCTGTTTGACCTTTGACTATTAACCTGTTTGAAAATGAATTGCTTTTCTACTCTGATTTATGCCCTTGCATGGGGAACAAGAAAGATTACTCATTCCTGTCCTAGCTATCTCAATTTTGTGTCATTACCCTATCGCTAGAGACTAA